GCGCTGTCTGGATTTTAGATCCTCATTGTAACGGATCCCGTCCATGGATTCTACGGCCTTGGCCATTTGTCGCGCAAGACGTTGACACCGTCTTTGGCGTACCCTCTTTGACAAGGTTGGAACACCTTCAGCGGTTGACTTTGCGGCGGAAGTGAGATCTGGATCTGCAACTTCGACCATGTTAGACGCCATTGGAGCGTCGCGGTGAGTAAGTGCAACGGCGGCGCTGGAAGAGGATGCCTTCCTGTGCCTGCTTGGAGAGGCGGATCTGGAGGAGGAGGAGGAATAGAGGTACTCTTCGAACTTCTGTTGATCGAATTCATATTCGATCTCTTCATTCACCCGTATCTTAAATGCCGGTTGCGTCACTACAGCCTCGGCAGCGAGGCTGTTGGCTCCCACTGTGGTCGCCAGTTTGTTTTCGTCGAAAGTTGCCTTAGTCATTGATTTCATTAAACTTCAAACGTTACAAATGAATTCAAATAACAAAATAATAAAAGATTACAACTTTCTTTAAAATAACACAAGATCCGTTCGTCGTCTCTTGCTTGCGTGGGTCTTTAGCCTGTGACGGGGATGTTGATATCCGTGGACTACCTGGCAATCAGATCTGGTCCAGAGCTTCGTCGATCCGCGAGGAGATCTAGAAGCTAAAGCGCTTATCTCGACGAAGCGAGATAATTGCTCTTCTTAGAATTACCACAACGGGATAATACTAAGGATTGGATGCGGGTGATGTAGATCTGACGAAGAACTCTCTTGTGTTGAAGTGCTCGATCACTCTTCAGTCCGGCAGGGCTTCGCTAATTCTCCAAAATTCCAGATCTCCAAAAAATAAGGTCTAAGGCTTGTATTTATAGGCTTGAGGGGTTGCGGAGCGGTTAAAATGATCTTAAGGCCCAAATCTGACTTGGAGACACCCTAGGGTGTCTCTACTTGATCCGAGACACCCTAGGGTGTCTCGGTTTGGGCCAGGGTGTCTCGGCCTTAGCCGAGACACCGTAGGGTGTCTCGTTGGTCCGAGACACTCCATTGAGGTGTATTCATCCGCTTCCGCTGTAAATTCTTCGTTCGAACTCGGATTTGAGTGATTCAAAATGCGTTGGAAAGCTGACGAGGAGTTCTATCAGCTCCGATGATTAGATCATCTGTTGAATCAATGAGACACGAAGGGTATTGTTCTTTTTGTAAACATCGCGGGGCTCCTGATTAACCCGTACCTTCGTTAGTTTACGTAGTTCGTCGATTCACTTCAATCGTTCATCGACATCAATCGAACTCCTGTGAACCGGATAGTGATGTTCATCGTCGTTCCTTAACATCGAGCTGTTCGTGGAGACCTATAGGTAATTTTTGATGCCTACAAGAGTTAGTTCATACTAACGTATGGGGTCCATCTAGCATATCTTCTCATGGCGATTCAGCATACTATGTCACTTTCATCGAGCACCACTCGAGGGAGGTGTGAGTATACTTCATAAAGCACAAGTCAGAGGTGTTCGGGATCTTCAAGAAGTGGAAGGCCATGGTGGAGAACGAGACAGATTTGAAGGTGAAGTGTATGAGATCAGACAACAGTAGAGAATACGAGCTAGAGGAGTTTAAGAGGTTATGTGCTCTAAATGGGATTCGTTTGAAGAGAACTACTCTAGGGACGCCACAACAAAACGGCGTTGCAGAAGGATGGACAGGACATTGACAGACCGTGCCAGGAGCATGAGATTACATGTAGGTCTGTCTAAGATATTTTGGCCGGATGCGGTGCATACAACAGCTTATTTGATTAATCATGGGCCATCAGTTCCATTGGATTACGGGATTCCAGAGGAGGTTTGGAGTAGCAGGAAGATCAATCTCTCACATTTGCAAGTATTCGGTTGTATGACATATGTTCATATCAGTGACCATGTTAGGGAGAAGCTAGAGGCTAAGTTACAGAAGTGCACATTCATTGGATACGGTATTGATGAGTTCATGTATCGTCTTTGGGATGAGAAGAACAGGAAGATCATCAGAAGCAGGGATGTGATATTCAATGAGGAGGTGATGTACAAGAATAAGGATAGTACTAATGATAACCAAAGCAGTGGGAACAGCACTACGGATACTGTCACGCCCCGCTTCCCAAAATACCGGGGAATCGAAACGTGAACAAGCCTGCGACGTATTAGATTGAGAAGAAATATATACTATCATTTTTTTTCTCTTTTCTTCTCAATCCAATACGCTAAGCGTCAAATATATAAATCTCAATCACAGATCCCCGATCACAATAGTAAGAATATGAAGACAGCCCAAAATAAGAAATAAACATATCATCAACAGATCCTCCCAGATATAAAATATAGGTTCAACATACCCTTACTACACAACAGTTCAACTAGAAAATAAGAAATACATAGTCCATAATAAAAGGAAATACTAACAAAATAACCAATCTATCACCAACTAAAGGAAATACTGTAAAAGTATTCTATCAGCTACTATAGGAAGAAAAACACGTCTAGGCTTTAGTTTGTTCTTCCACTCCATCGGAAGGACATTCCGGCTGGGCATACACTGGCTCGGCTACATCATCGAACTGAACCTGCACGTCTCCTAAGTCTGACGCACACCAGAGAAAACAGGTGTACATCAGCATGCATGGCGCACGACAAGATCTCACATGGAAAATAAAACGGTCGTATGACCCACGCTATGACAATAATAATACTAATAGAAAGACAATAACAAAAGCAACTGAAAATCTAAATAAATACAGATGGATTTCTATACTAAACATGATAACATACAGCTATATACATATAGTAACCGGGTCAGATAATAACCATCCTAAATCTCACTGGTCCACATCTCACACAGAGTCATCGCTCATATCATCGGTTAAATGACTGTTCACAAATCCCCTACGTGCATCCAAACCCGCGAAACGGTTCAGTGAGAGGACTACACACAATCCGATTTCGGCCTGGTTCGAACTCAAGCAAAATTCGGGTGACGAAACGATTTCACTAACCAAGTGCGAAACGGTTCACTTGGCCTAACAAACTAACCCCAGTGCGAAACGGTTCACTGGTGCGAGTCCGAAAGATACATCAACAGTCTTATCCGATCACATGAACCATATCTTCCCCATCACAATTCTTCTTATTTTTCTAAGTCAACTATAATCCTCATTGGAACTAGGGTTCACCACCTAAACTCAGTCAACACACTCACACATGTCACTAAGTCTGTTCATGATGCACGAGGTCACTAAGTCATGAACTACTAAGGTTCTCAGCACATCAACAGATCATGAGTATAGCATGTTAAACATGATTACGCAGGTTTATGTAACGGAAATGAGAACTATAATAAACATGAAATGCATAAACAAAATACTACAACAAGAATACATACATAAGGAACTTCATTACTTCTGGAATATCCAAACTCCTCATGCAACATATCCGTACCTACGTTTTTCTAAGATAATAATACGGTAAACTAGAAACCGATGTCGTTTTGTACATGAAATGTCACGCTCTACGACGATCAGTCATACTATCATAAATAATAATATTCTTTTTCCAAGATTATTATTTAAAATTGTTTTTTGTTATAACTAATTAAAATAAAAAATATATTAATTCCTTTCTGAATGAAAAGTAATATATTTCTATTTTATAAATTTCCCTTAAATAATTTCTTTTCTATAAAATTTCGTAAATTCAAATTTTAACACATAACTTGTCATTTCATATCCGTAATTTCTTAAAAATACGACTAACAACATTATTAATCTAAATTTTTACCGTGCGCTCGTAATCATCACTTCACGTAGATATTCACAATTGCATATTAACCACCATAATAATTTAACTATATATAATCATCATACTAACAACAATATTAACCATTAATTAATGACAAGGGTGAATACGAGATCTTGCCTACGACGAGTCGACTGCGAGTGTGGCTAGCGGCATCGACGCGGTGACGACAACAGAAAGGAG